ATGCTTCCGCCTCGGAATGCGTGATGTTCGGTGATGTTTTGTGGCTGATTGCGTTTTGTTGTTCACGCCATATCCTTATACGCTTGTCATCTGGCTCCAGAGCAAATCCTGGCTTATCAGCAGACATGACATTGCCCCAGTCACATTCCAATTGACATGTTCCCGGCACCACTGTAATCGTGCCCCTCTTGATTGGACGGATAGAGGAACACAAACTCGAGGTATCCGGGCGTACAGTCCACTCATATGTAATCTTCGGCGTACAGTAGCTGCAGATATCGCCTTACCAATGGACGCTGTAACCATAGATGTCACACGTGTGGAGGTCGCTCTAAGATTTCGCTTGGCTACAATAGCAATATATCGATCTTTCGCGGGGGTTGTAACCCTTGGGCGACCGGCTACGGGCCTTCGGACAACTGTCTGTGTGGTTTGGAATTGTTTCCATAAACGTGAAATTACAGAATGATGAACGCCGAAGAAAAGAGCAACATCTGTGATCGCGCTCAGAATCTTCCATTCGTCTTCCGGAAGTCGTAGAAACACGTATGTGTTGAAAACAAATTGTACAAAAGTTTTAAACACCTTCTATCAGCACTTACAGTCAACTTCTGTAACCTTTCATAAAGCTGGCTTCTTATAAGACTGCCTTTTTTGCATATTTATTGACATGAAAGCGCGATTGGCTGTAACCTAACATATTTAAACACTTCCATCTACCTCTTCAGCGAATTGGATCCTCTTCAATTCTGATTGGCTTCCGGAAATTACCATTTTCCTCTCTGTGCTTAACTTTTGGAAGTGAGTGTATTTTTTCCCCTTACGATGTTGCCATTACTCACTTTGAATTGTTGAGTTTGTAAATCTAAAATTCTTTAAATTTTTACAAAATAAGAAATAGATAATAAACCGAATTCGAAATTCAAAATTAGGTCTTCTAGGTGCCCAGGTGACCTCCCGGTGGCGAAGTGGCTAGCGCGTGGCGCAGCTGCACCAAAGGTCCGGGGTTCGATCTTCGAGCTGGGCAAGGTCTACTCAGTCTTTCATTCCTCGGATGGGTCGATAAAATTAGTACCAGTTCGCTTGGGAACTAAACACCGGGGGTCCAAACTGACGACTTGCTCAGGGCATATGCTGATTCTTTCCACGGCACAAGCTCAAGAAAGCAGATTTCGGGTCAAGCCGTGGCCCACTAGGGCTGTTGCGCCACTGAGTTTAGTTTGAAGTGCCCATGTTCGGGTGGCGGATTACGGTATTCAAAATTTGATGGCTCTAGGTACCGCTGTTTTATCCTAATGCGAGAAATATATATACATATATGCAGATTCTTCATTATTTAATTTCTTTAAATATAATACAGGGCGATAATATTCCGTGGCAATAATTAAAAAAGTGAAACGCCGTTTACAGTGAACCGACAAAAAATGCCAAAACGAAATTAATAGTTCTTGTGGGTAAATTGACCGGTCAGGCTAATAAAAACTTAACATATCCCATTTATATGTCACATTTCGTTTCCTAATAAAATATATTTATAACGTAACGCTTAATATATGTATATACTATCAGTTAGACAAAACGTTGCAAAGTTATTCTTGTTGACAATAATTTTTTTTTAAATGTAAAACAGAACAAGCTACCTAGATAATTGCTATAGAAATAAATCCAAATTAATTTGTTAAAAAGACAAAGATTCAATACGATAATTTTCTCTATCTATTCTATTTTCTCTACTCTCTAAGCTTTGCTCAAAATCTTACTTTCTTAATGTTTGAATTGGAAGTGTGTTGCGAAAACGTGTCCTAAGCTCAGGAGCAATATAGTTTGCAGTGGGTCTTCCTGTTTTTCATAATTCTTGTTTTAATTCCTTTGCTCGGGTTTTAGTGTCATTTGTCAACTATGTGTTAATGGCTATGTTTTGCTACTGACATTGTACGCTGAATAACATTAGACACAGTATCCCTCATCAAATATTTTCATAATATTTCTAGGGTTAAATCTAATTTAAAGTTAAATTAAAATATTATATTTCTTGATTCTGATGAATTTTCATCTTTACACGGAACGAGAAATCCAGAGGACGAAGTACGCGTAGTTTAGAGATAGAACTTAAATATTTTTTTTAACCTCTGTTTTAGATACGAACAAAATTTAATATAACATAACTAAAACTACTTGCGAGGTCTTAAAAGTACAAATGCTTTAGCTGCACAACAGAAAGACTCTAGTAACCTAATTAAGACGAATCTGGCCATTCGTGACTTCTAGACTTAAGCGCTAACAAATTCATAACGGCATGCAACGAATCATTCACGAAATAATTGCTCTCATGAAGTCTTGTCAATGTTCTCTCTCTAAGTTAGTTATTGCCTGGCTACATTAATTCAACCTCATTTGCTTTCTGATGAAAGCTTGGGAAGAAACAGAAATTGCAGGAAAACATGTAAAAAAAAATTATGTGATAATAAGTTGAATCTTACACTGTAATAATTTGAAAATAGCTATTTTTCTACATCTACGAATTCACGACCCAGATGTTCCAGGCAGAACCTATAATTTGTCTATAATTTGTCTTTTATAAATTTTGTTTCCTATAATTTGTCTTTTATAAATTCTGTCAGTTCATTTACTTTTCCATCAACCATATCCAATTGTTGCACATCACATGATTTAAGCAAAATTATCAGAAAGCATGAAAATTATGTGAAAGAAATAAACTGGTAAATATTTTTGCGATTTATTTTGCTATTACAAAAAAAAAAAAAAAAAAAAAAAGTTTTTTTAAGTTGGATGTTTTCTTTGCTTTGTACAAACCCTTCATACTTACTATTATAGATTACATAAGCATGACATTTTGAGAGCTAGATTACAAATATTTCCCTTCTTAAAAATATGTAATAGGTTTAATACTACCTTATTCCGAAAACCATTGCATAAGAAACTATCTTATAATTTTAATTATTAGATTTAACGCCAAGATTAACTTAAAAGGAACATTTGTTTCAGAACTAATGCCTGTTATGCGTGGTCATCACGTACAGGGTGGTTGGAAAGTTTCCTTACATGTGCAGTCATTTCATAAACACTTACAGTTATTTGCTCAAAACATCCCTATGTGCAACACCGTTTTGTAGTTTAAACCCTTGCAAAATTATATCCATTTCATTCTCAAACGTTACAAGCTCAGAATCTCAAATACCAAGATAAACATTTCCACCCTAAATCTATTTAAACTTGAGTTTTGCTTGTAAATATTTTAAGGTACAAAAAAGAAACCATAAAAATGTTAATGAAATCATACTGAAGAGAGCAATGACTCTGTCATATAGACAGGAATGTAGAAAATATTTACTTAAATAAATTCAAAATTAATAAATAAATTTAATTTCTTGCATTCCTTGATTGCAATACTGATTTCTCAAAATTAGTTAATTATGAATGCATTTAATCTGAGAATAACACTCAAGATCGTGGAATTAAAATAAGAACACTCACGTTAAGATAAATTTTAAAATCATTTTTCTAGTGTACTTATCGATTATATGAATTTCTGCACTCGCAAAAGTTTAAAATTTTATTTGCCGTTTTTGTTTTCAAATTTTCCATAGGAAGATAATGGAATAAAACAAAAAGAAAGAAAAAACAAAAATCTGAAATTTTTCAGATTTTAAATTACGTCCAAAGGGGCGTTTTTTTAACGTTTTAAGTGTTAGCTTTATTTATTAAATATCATGTTCTTTGCATTTAAACCATAAAATTCAGTTCAAGAGCAATATCGCAAAATAATGTTAAATTAAGCATATCTTTAGAATTTCCGATATACACAGTCTCGCGAGCTGGAGATAAAAGTATTTTTTTTATATATAACGTTGCCATTTCTCGCTTTTAAAGCATTGAGTTTGTAAATCAAAAATTCGTTAAAGTTTTACAAAATATAAAATCTATAATAAAACAAATTCCAAATTAGGGATTTCAAATGCCCATATTCGCAGTAGGATTTCGTCACTCAAAAGTCGATGGCTCTATGTACCATTGTTTTATCACAATGCGAGAACAGACAATCATTTATGCAGATTTTTCATTATTTAATTTCTTCAAATATAATGCAGGACTCTAACATTTTTTGGCAACAGTTTGAAAAGTGAACCGACGTTTTTGAGTCCGACGCAAAATGCCAAAACGAAAGCAATAGTCCTTCGGGACTGAAATCCCTTTGGACTAAAAAAAAGAATTTTAAAATTCTGGAAATTAATTATAAAAGCGTAATTTTGTTTGTTTAATTATTTGCTGTTTGGCAACAACGCTTATCTATATTCGGGAAACTAGCCCATCCGTTTTCGATGTGAAAAATTCACATGCTAAGAAATGACTGTTATAAGTTCCGTGGCGCATTATTTGAATATATTAAATTATGCTGATTTTATTCATCTGCGCGCTGAAGACAGTCATTAAATGCCAACACACTTTATACTGGATATTAAAAGTTATTCGTCTCACGTTCGTTCGCTACTTACTGTACGAAAAGGAAACGAAATTAATCACCCTGCGCTGGTTGTTTCCTTGCAAAGCACCTCGCGTAAAATCCGCGGAAACAACACCTGCTCCCGCGTTAGTTTGACATTCACTGCATGCTCAGGAGTGAAATTTGAAAGAAGATGTAAAAGAATAAAATAAATAAATAAGAATGAAGGCGTACAGGGGAAGCATGGCGTATGAACAAGGCAAAAAATAAAAGTGCAAAAGTATCTCAAGGGATAAAATTAATTTCTCCGAACTGTACCGAAACTCATCGCTTTCCACTATCCATGCGCTTGGTAGTGGAAAGAGACGACCGCAAAACTGAGCAAGAATGGCTCTTTGAAGTCGAGCCGCACATTCCCACAGCGTATTGCGCATTAAAATCTTGCGCATGCTCTCGATGTCCCGTAATGATATACGGAGCGTCCCGCGTGCTTTTGGCGGCATTTCATCGTCAGATGCCGCACAGGGATTTGCCACGTTCGGCCGTGATGACGCTCAATCACGGAGAGCAACTCCAAACCATGTGCTCCCGATCCCGTCTTTGCATCAGCGCGTGGGAGCTGTCTCCTTGAGTAAACTATCTACCGTGTGATACACGTGTTGCTGTGGGAACTGTTTCATAATTTTGCAAGTTACTGATCAATAATTTTCGGCAACTGAAACTTTGTCATAACGAACAGAAAAACAAAATAGAAAAAGATGCACAAGAGAAGACAGTATGAGATTTCTCGTGTTTTGTATGTCATGACTATCTTGATGACAAGTAAGTGAGAAAATTTAGTTTAATTTTTTTTTAATATATTCTTGGTAATAAGTTTCTATGCAGTGTTTATGGTAATAATGTTACGTGACATGAAAAGCATAAATATTACGTTACAAACATCGTAAACAACACAAAAATAATGTAAAATATATGTATAAATCAAATATTCTGCTATGTTTATTTGTTTGTTTTTAAACTTATCATTTCTTGTTAACATCCAAAATATCAGAAAAAATATGTTCTTAATATTAAATCGATATTTTATACGATTACGTTTAATTTAGCTTTGTACAGGTATATAGTGAATGAAAAAAATATTTTGTGTAAGAAAACTGAAGATAATGTACTTGCAAAGTGATATGATAGCATATGGGAATGTTTTTATGTAAATTCTACGATTATTATATCTATAAGTAAGGACAATCAGTATCTTATGTGGAGGTGTTCTTCAAATACACGTAGTTTCATATGCTTCATTGGAAAAGGCGTTTTCCAACTCTTCGCAATTTTCTGTGATAGATATGTATTTGGAAGAAATAGACAAATATTTCTAACAAAACAGAAGATAAACATTTCTAACAAAACGGAGGATAAACACAAGAGGGAAAACGTACACGATATTCAGTTACATTTACTAGCATATAAACGAATGAGATAGTTGAAAATGAGCCATTTAGCCTCGAGCACTGCTCTTAGCAAAGTGGAATATTGCATACAATATATTGTAAATGTGCTAGCATGAAACGTAGTTAACATTTAGCTAATATTTAAGAAAGCTTCACAAACTGAAGAGATTCTGATGCATTTTTTACTTGAAGTTCAAATATATGTTTACATTTTATGCTTCATGAAGATAATGTCAAAACATGAACACGAGTTTTAACTTCTGTCAGTCGTTTCGTCGTTTATTTAAAATAATTTAATGCTCATCTTTCTTAAAAAAGTTTCACTTTAATTTTATTTTTCTCATCTGTTTATTTCAGTCATTTAGGTAGTTTCAAAGTAAATATTGCTATTTTTTTTATTTCTAGTTTAGAATTATTTTCAAATATACCGAGATCTGTTATTTTAATATTTCAAGGTTCGTTTATGAGTTACACATTTAGTATTCAATTACATTCTGCGTTCTGTTCTTCGATACAAACACCTGTTACATAAATATTTTAGATTTGAATCTTTAGTTTAAAATTATAATGTTAACCTTAACACATAGTTTATAAAAATAGCTGTAAACATACTTTAAATGAATTTTAATAAAATCGCACTCATTGTAATGTAGAGACACCTCATATCAAAAGAATACACCTCTTATAAAGTATTTAATTTTTGAAACCTTCATCATGAAGGTTAAAACTGTGTATATTCTGTATAAACACAGCGTAGCATCTTTCCCTTTTAGCAAAAGAGAATGAATTCTCTCTCATGAAAAGATACGATTCTAATAATAAGCCGGGCGACTGTTTACACATTTTAAATCGCCCTTTTATATGATTAAAGACTTTAAAAAAATGCACGTAGTTCATATTCATAATAACATCGATTTCTTGCGGTGAGAACTTACGAATAAATTAGCGTTAACTCAAAACGCAAAGAATACTCCAGGACTACTTAAAACTAATAGGCTGATTAAGCAACCTACGCCAGTGATAGAGTTTAAATAAACGGCCAGAAGGCATATATATCAGCTACTCAAATTAACAGCAGGAAGGAGAAAATAGCAACGTGCGCTACGCTAGCGAAATCACGCTCTGACAAACGTTCTCTTTTCGTCCGTTAAATTACTCTTCTTTACTTTAATTTAATATGCATCTTAGCGAGGAAATGCAAGGGGAAACTGAGGATTTCAGAAAATATAACAAACATTAGAATAATTGGTTATTAAAACTAAGGGGAACCTTAAAACCGTATATATCTTATCCGTGTATCTGTATCTGTGTATATCTATTCAAGGTACCTCAAAATATATCAGTTATACACAGTATATAATAAATTATTTTCGAAGAGCCTTTTATAACCAAATAATAATAAACAGTTACAACTATTTAACAAATAAAATCCTCATATAATTGCTATACATTTTAAATGTTGAAGATTGGGGAAATGGATAATACCCTGCTAAACTGCATGCTTGTGCAAGTAAGTACTTGTATCGTGATGAGCTAGTACAGAGTCTGAGCAAAATGTCTTCTAAAACTGAACTACAGAACATTTAGCCAGCTTTTGGTGGCTTCTATTAGAATTGATGGTCAGAATAAGGTCGTTTCTATTTGAATTTATGGTCAAAATAAATATCGGTGATGTGTTGTTGTATGTAGAACATTGACTTGAAACCCCTTTTGTGTCTTATATATAATAGGCATCAAGGTTCAAACATTAAATAGAATTTAAACACACTTCAAAATTAAATTAAACTTAAACACAAGGTTCAAACATTAAATAGAATTTAAACACACTTCCCTTGCTCCAAATATCTGAGATCCTAGCAGCGGTTGAGAGCTAAAATAACTGAACACTAGAAGTTCGACCCAGGTTTAAATCCCAGAGGCCAAGCGGTAAAGTCGCTGAACACTGGTAGTTCGGTCCGAGGTTCGAATCCCGCGAACGGGCTGGCTGCATGGGCGTTTCCGTGGTGTTCTCCATGTGTAACGTTATATGAGCCAGTTTCCCTTAGAAATTCCTCCACGAAGGCATCCCTCCCCTTAGGCAGATAGCCCACGAGGCTTTGCCATAATAACACAGACACAGATAAATAAGTTAAATCCCAGCAAAATGACTGGCTGCATGATAGTTTTCATTGTGTTTCCTATGTGTCATGGGAATGCGAGTTAGTTTGCCTTAAAGCATGCTGCATCAAATCTTTAATACCCTCAAATGCTTTTCTGTAATTTAAATAAACAAACTAATCCATCCTCAAGTATACTAACTATATTCGCACAGTCAGATCTATATAGTGTGCTCGACAGGGTTGTCCTTGAAAGAACTGAATTTTCTCTAACGAGAAAAAAAAGCTGTACTGTGCTTGTGACATTTGAAACACCGTGATATGATCGCATGTACTTCAGGCTTTTAATCGGCTGATATCTGATATTAAATTTCTCAAGTACAATTGCATAATATCCAAAGCAAGATTTCGGCAATTTTAAGAAACTTACAGTTGCCGGGAATAATTCATCGGGATATGAGCAGATTTTACCAGAGCGATTATTCTTTCGCGTATTGAATATTTCGTGAAGGCTTTCTGAATTATATTTATGTAGTATTAAACATTGTTGCTTATCTAAAATATTAAAAATTACTCAATATACCAATTCTGATATTCCCTTCTATCACTCGGCTCATCAGCGGCCGAGCAGCAAAGTCGCTGAATAGCGGTAGTTCAGATTGGGGACTCGAATTCCGGCAAACGGGCTACATTGGCATTTCCATGGTTTCCCTCCTGTGTGATATGCATACTAACCAGTTTCCCTTAAACGTCTTCAACGAAGGCATCCCTCCCGTTAGCCAGGTAGCTCTTCAGTAGCTTTGTAATGATGAAATAAACAAACAAACGAAACCTTTCTATTTCTCAACATATTGGTGCATGATGTAAGTGGGGTTAGCAGAAACGCCATCACTCTGCCGGGTCAGCTAACGGTCCTTTCTGCTGCATGACCTGCTGTAATGGCGTTGCTATACATTTAATGTAAAATATTTTTGTATTTATTTAATATAATTAACACGTTTCTTGAAAATTGCATTCTTTTTAAATTATGTATTATATCGCAAAAACTGAAGAAATGAAGATAGAAATAACAACCTCTGAAATACACGCGGATGGTTCTCATATTGCAGAAACTCGCCGGCACTGGCCGAAGCTGCCAGGTTTTGAACTCTTGTAGTCATCCACCTTAATGTGTCAACCTATGCCTACAAATTTTGAATTTACAACACTTTGCTTTTATGAGGATTTAATGAAATTTTGATCACCAAATTGGCTGATTTAAGAGCAATGAGTTGCTACTCGGCAAATCGTAAGTCGTATTAATCATTAATGATTAAAATTTAATCGGAAAACTCAGGTATTTAAAAGGTATGTATCGCCACTCGGCAAAGCATAAACTCAGCAACAGAAAAGAAATGCATTGCCATTATCCGTAATAAACTATTTTCATCTTCCACTCAACAATCTGTTGCCATACGCCAAAGTATAATTTATTTAATTTTCCTTTCAAAATTTAAACTACGTGTTTATGATTACCTGTCTAAGCGGCTTAAGACCAATAAACGCAATTTTTCATCTCTATTATTATCGATGAGTAGCTAAACTCATTAACGTATTAATGAGTAGCTGAACTTATTAACGAGCTGGTCTCATTAAAATCATGATATTTAACTATGTATCTATTTAACATATATATTTTAGGCTGTTGCTCCAGCAAGCGGCTAGTAAATTTAGAAAACATAAATAAATCCCTTTCTACGTCTGTTTATTTCCAACTAGAGAGGGATTTCTGCACGCTTTTAAGTTCACTTTCGAGTTAGTTAGCCATTAGTTTGACTTGCTTGCTATTGTTCCTTGCGATTCATGTTGAGGAAATACTTGTTTACATGATGAAATCATCTCATTTCATGTCTGGAAATCTAAGGATGAGATCTGGGAAGAAAATCTCTTATAAAAGATAATCCTGAATGGAAGAATCTTATGTGTTGCCAGGCATTGTGTACTTAAACATCTAGGATAACGAAAAACAGCATATTTCGTTTCCTAGGTTCTGAAACAAAAATGAAATAAATTTTAGGAAGTTGCTGCATGTGGAAGTTTTACACTGAAAAGGATATTTCAAAACATTGTTAACGTTCATTTCTTGCGGAATTCTGGAAATGCTTTCTGTCTAACAAAGCCATAATTTTGATCAGCACTAAACAAGAAAGTAAACATGAACTGTTGATACTGGCAAGCTGTTAAATAAACGTAACACATTCACTGGCGTATTCATTATATCTAAAAAAAAAAAAAACCG